TTTTTTTTTTAAGAAAAAGAGGGAAAGGAGCATTGTAGATTCATGCATATGCATCGGTTGTTTTAAGTACAATGTACCACTACCGGTGACCTTCGTCACGACAACCTTCCATCCAACTTTATTTAATTTGCACATGCATTCGTCAGTTGAAAAATATTTTACGACCAAAAGAGAGTACCGTCCACGTTCTCGTGATCGCGTGATTTTACGTTAGAACCTGCCGACTCGACTATATTGAAAAAGAAAGAAACGTATGTTTTTTTTTTTTTCAATCGTTTTTCATTTTCTATCACCTAAATAAATCACCTAAGTAAATCAGACTGAATCTCTTCTTTGTTACCATTATTCGATCTCCTGTCTGTTCTTTGAAACACACTTTTACCCAAAAGAAGAACGAGTATATAAGAATGGAACCCAAATGAAAAGACTTTTAAGAAACTCCTTAATTTCCATCAGTCAAGAATATTGGACAAAAAGTACGTAGTACAAGAAGCAAAATACATAATAGACCCCATAGCCTGGAACAATTGCAATTAATAGCGGTTGAATGCAACGTAGCCAACGAAAGCTATACCTAAGAACCATAATACCAAACTATAAGCTACAGCCAAAGTTGTCTGAAAAGCCGCAACGCGTACGAAATCATTGCATCGTTCGCGTTGATTTACGAAGCGACGTTACGTCCACTGCATTTGCAGAAACTTGAACGGTGAATCGTAAATCACATTGCCCGAGTTCCCGATTTCACGAAACGCCGCGCGGCGAGAAGAAGAGAAGACCAGATAAACTGGACACCTATTTTTTTTTCTTTTTCTTTTTCTTCTTCTATTTTCCTCCAACACACCATCATTTTCGAAGTCGTCGAACTGTTTCGTCGTTTGCTGAGAGGTTTGTCTTGCTGTTTCCGCAGGGTGGATGGCGAGGACGTAAGACTGATGCTGTGGGATACTGCCGGTCAGGAGGAATTCGACGCAATCACCGCGGCTTATTATCGCGGCGCCCATGCCTGCGTCCTCGCTTATTCAGCCACCGACAGAGATTCCTTCGACGCCATTCCTTCGTGGAAGCTGAAGGTACGACTCTCGTACACACGAGACATACACATCGTGCTGAACCGGTGCAAGCACGTTTCCGTAGGTAGTCACGACGGATGGTGGAATGTGAAAGTGAAGGTGCCATTAAAGCAGGGGGCTGATTTTAAGTCGCTCCACGGCTGAAACATTTCCACAGGTAGCGACACACCGGTCTTAGATAGTTTTGCGAAAATGTCTCTCGTTGAATACATGTATCCCGTATCGAGGGGATCTGTTATACGACCCTTTAAAAGTCCTCTTTATTGGTGTTGTCTCCACTATCTTCCTATATAGTCTTTTATTAGTATTCATTGAAATTGTACTGTTACTGTGAGTGGTTAACGAAACTACGTAATTTTGAATAATTTAGAAAATTTCTAATTCTCCTTGTATAGTATAATATATAATATAATTAATTAGTAATTAATATATTATATATTAAATATTATAATATATATATTATTTATATATATTATAATATATTAAATAATAGTGTTGTCTCCACTATAATATATTATTATATATTATAATATATTAAATAACAGTGTTGTCTCCACTATCTTCCTATAGTCTTTTGTTGATATTTATTGAAATTGTACTGCTGCTGTGCGTAGTTAACGAAGCTACGTAATTTTGAATAATTTAGAAAATTTCTAATTCTCCTTGTATAGTATAATATATAATATAATTAATTAGTAATTAACATATTATATATTAAATATTATAATATATATTATTTATATATTATAATATATTAAATAATAGTGTTGTCTCCACTATAATATATTATAATATATTAAATAACAGTGTTGTCCCCCCTATCTTCCTATAGTCTTTTATTGATATTTATTGAAATTGTACTGCTGTGCGTGTGTCAACGAAACTACGTAATTTTGAATAATTTAGAAAATTTCTAATTCTCCTTGTATAGTATAATATATAATATAATTAATTAGTAATTAATATATTATATATTAAATATTATAATATAATAATTAATTAATATATTATATAATATATTATTTAATATAATTTATAGTAAGTGTGCAGATTCTTTTGAAATAGTTCAGTAAACGAAAAAAGAACTAACTCTCCCTAATGTAAAGAATGCACATAATTGTTGTAGTAGTACGTATCAACGTTACTCACCTTTCTTTCCATTCTTCGTACAGATTCAATCGGAACAATGTGATATTTTAGCAACGCGATATATAATTGGCAACTTACTTAGTCAGCGTTATAGTACCGTATAAAGATACCAGCAACAAGGCTAAAGAAATTTCATTATATTTCGGTGAAAACTGCTACAACTTACATGCTCTGTTCTAGTTTATGCACAAGATTAATAATGATGGTATTAATATACGATCGTTACTGATTCATGACGGCAAGTATGTCGAAAAGCATATTGACGACGGACGGCGTCGATCATCGTTCGAGATCGTGTAACACACTCTCGAATTCCTTTCGTAGAAACTTGTACGTTCGCTTTTTTCTTTCGTTTCCAGAGAGACACGGTCGGGGAAGGTGTAACCGAGACTGGAACAGATATAAATCGGCGTGAATAGTCGCCATTGCGAGTCATATTTTACCTTGATACGGCGGATTTCTGCTATATTTTATCTGTCTTCCGTGCCAAACTAGTAAACTAAAATGAATTGGAGTTTTACTCGAGCTTTTGATTCTAACTTGCACGATCGTAAGTTAGTTTATCCGAGATTTTCATAAATCTTAATTCGAGTGGAATTGGAGCTGGTTGGCGACGAAAGAGAGAAACTTTCTTCGAGTTCTGATAAAAGCGGGGCCATCTATTTTACTTTTGCAGGTGGAGAACGAGTGCGGCGAAATTCCCACGGTTCTTGTGCAGAACAAGATGGACCTCGTTGATCAGTGCGTCATTGATCCGTAAGCATAACGCCTGGTTTGCTCGATTAGCAGCGCAATTTCGAGTAATCTCGAGCATAGAACTGTTTCAGGGACGAAGCTGAGAGACTTGGCCGCGCTCTAGGCTGTAAGCTTTTAAGAACGTCTGTGAAAGAGGACGTCGGTGTCATGAGCGTCTTCCGGCACTTGGCGTCACGATGCCTCCACGAGATGCGTCGCTGTGACGACGATTATCAGGATGACCTGAGATTGTACTCAGCCGGGCCTAGATCTCCTTCTGTAATAAGTGAGTCGATCCCTTTTGCTTGCAATAGTCGAAATGTTTCATAATAGAAATGATCAATTATCATTAGTATCAGGTGTAATAATAATTGACAAATGGAGAAGTGCATGTAAGATTACGCATGCATAATTTGAATATACAAACAACAGAATTCACACCTCCATATATATATATAAATCTTCTCTACTAATTTTCCTAATCGTTTTCTCATCTTTTACTTCTCTTTTACTCCGATTTTAGCAAATTAAAGTTAAAAAGTGTTTCAAATCGAGTTAGTAACTTTGTGCATACTAAGAGTTCGTTCGTTTCAGGCGCAAAGAACGTGGAAAATTGGTAATGAATGGTATCGTTGATCGCGGTTCGCATCGGCTATTAAACGCATCGATTTGTACGTAAGAGAACAATGGAGTATCGTCGGATTCACACGTGGCCGTTCCGATATAGACGCTGACCACTTGTTTCAGCCGGTGAATATAGCTGTGTGAAAAGAACAGCGCGCTTTCTTGGAAACTCCTCCAGAAGATGCATAATGTATTAACTCTGCCGGATACGCACGCTTGTACTTACGGGTTGAGTTGATTCTAGTGCCTTTGTTTTTAAGTCGTCATCACGTTTGTGACTGGTGAAGAGATGGATATGTCGGGCCAGATTCGAAATTAATCTCAGCAATTTTTTTTCTTGTTTCTTTTTTTGGCCACGTATATATATCTTCTCCTTATTTTTGTGCAGAAAAATTAAAGCATTCGAAGAATGTCTCAACGTTCTGTGCAACCACAATAAATGCCGATGCATAAACACTTGATTCTACAGCCACTATAACAAAAAATACCACTAAATTGCGTACAATTATTAAATTACTTTTGTATATCAGTCATACACGGGCACAGGCAATGAAATGGTATATTTTATATACGGACTAGGAAATTTAACGTATGCAGATTTCTTGATACTTAAATGAAATCTCAGAAAGATCATTTAAATAAAAAATATATGAACAAAAGTATATGAAATTTAGGACAAATTATTGTCATTATTCAAGGTAATATAACAAAGCAAACCTTTGTTAAGTATGGATGCAATCGAAAATAAACATTATACTGATTTATAACTTTAGACGAGTTCCTGTAAGGTATAAATACAACTTCAGTTCGCGTGACTTCAAGCACCGATCTTAATTCTTGAATACATGCAAGTGTAACTACATAATGCACATGTACATACGGATCCGTACATTTCTCACGTGTTATCAGATATTGTTCAAAGGATGAACCTTTTAGCTTTGCGATAGCTTTGGGGAAATTGTTTGAAATAAATTAATATAAATTCTGATGAAACAGAGATTGAAATGAATCTAACAACGAATGATATTTAGTTCAGGGTAGAAAAAATTATCTGGTTTTCTTTTATATGATGATTTAATTGTACAATTAGATTTACTTTGACATCGGACAAAAAGAACAATCACAATTTGGCCATGAAAATGTTTAGAGCATAATATTCAAAGTGTTTTACGTCCATGTATGGCTATGTAAAAACATTCTAGAAACATGAAAAAAAAAAGTTACACTATATAGTAATCGATTGAATATAATTTGTTTATTTGTTAACATTAATTGTACAAGCAATTGTACAAGTAATTGTTTACAGGATATACATTATTTACAGAATTAACAGAATACATTGATTAATGTTTATAAAACTACTTTGTAACATATAACTATTTAACATAACACATTACGTGTGGACATGAAACGGAGTGTCAGAAATTGTACTATAAATTCAAATATCACTAGCTTTAAATTGTGAACGTCACAATTTATGAAAATATATTCTGTTATAGGTGCATTTAGTCCAAATGGATCCACATGTGGTCGGAGTACAGGGAATGGTACCATAGTCTTGCGGCCAGGAGCCAAGGCAAAGAACCATAAAAAGAGGAATTTTGTAAAAAACGCTTGTAGGCTACTTTAATCTTTGCGTGGATAAGTACGCGATAAATTATAACGAATACTTCAACCATGTACAGACTGATATATTCGTATTTATGAAAATATAACTAATTTTTATATAATTGTTGCTTATAAAATGGTTTGACGATGCTTATAAAATGGTTTAACGATACACACAGTGTAGAGTATCAAAGACATAACAAGAGAACACATGAATGCAAATAATTTTGAACAGTATTGTTACATTGATTAATTTGTGATATACATTTCCTTTGATAGACGATTATAGAACCGTCACTTTATAGGTCAGTTTCAATTTATTTCAATTATGCATTGTATGTTATAAATGAAAGTATAATGAGAGTATAATTATAAATGAAAAAAGATACAACTACACACTTTGCTTATTTAGATACTTTCATTAGCTAAAACATAAGAAAAGTAAAAAATTTTAGAAAATATATTAAGTACAAAGTAAAGAAAAAAAGAGTATAATTTGTTTCAAATGGTAACTGAATAATTTTTCATGTTGAAGTGATAATGCATTTTTTTATATAATGAGTTCTTTTGATAAAATATTAATTTTTCTAATATTTGCATATTATGAATATATGTAAATACGTTAATTTTTAAACATTTCATTGTTTTAAATGTTCCCTGTATTAAGTACTTTTTATATTTGTGTTAAGAACATGAAGTACTTATTAAGTTTTATGTTTCTGTAAATATGAACGCTGAAAATGAACATAATGTCTTTTTATATGAGACACATATTGAATTATTAAGCCGTAAGTCATTAGTGAAAAGAAATGATATAATTTTAAATATCTTAATTTAGTAAAATAGAACATTTAATAATTAAAAATGTTTTAAATTACTTCATACAAATTCTTAAAAAATATTATTGTCATTAATTTATATGTAAACAAATACTGATATAATGGCTAACCAAATATTCTAGTTTATAAGGAAGAAAATATTATGTTGATAAATAATACTTTTCTGTGAATCACAACTATAAAATATCATTAAAAATAAATTGTTTTAATTTTTACGGAATTTATTTTAATTAATACCTCCAAATAATTGCTGAAGATTTACAAAAAAAAAAAAAAAAATACTATACAAATTTTTAATCAATGTTAAAAAGTAGATATTAGCAAAAATTAAATTCTTATATAATTATTTTTATTATGAGCTGTACAATGTTTCAGAATTTCAAACTTATATTATAAAACCGAAATGACATCACATTAAAAAAATATTTTAATCAAATCGTTTAATAAAAAAAATGAATAGTAATTATACGTAACCAAAATAGCTTGGCAGTACATTATGCTAATACATGTGTATGTATGTTGTGTATATATATATACACGGGGTGTTTCGTAACTTGTGGGACCCACTTTACTACGAAATAGAATAGAGCAAAGCTTCCGACAAATTCGAGAAACACCAGGAATGATAGAGAAAGTAACCAGATCAATGACAAGACGCAGGCTTGTCTTCAAATGCAAGGTGGTCATTTCGAGCATCTTTTGTAAAAGTAATTAAAACAGAAAATTCATTATATCTCATAAATGAAGACAGATAGGACATATATTTTTATGACTTTTTTTCATTATTTTTAGGCGTACAATCAGTTCCCGAAGTGGGTCCCACAAGTTACGAAACACCCTGTATGTATATATTATAAATACTAGCGATCTTTTTAATAGTAAGATAATGATGTAAACAACATAAAATAAAATTCAATTAATTCTTATATAAGTTAAATAATTTTTTAAAACCAATGCCAGATAGATTGTACAATATTTATCTCTTTTATAATAAATGTAATATGCAATAAATTTTGTAGTAAACATAATAATTTAATTTACAATATTAAAATAAAGTTATATTATAACTTTATATTTAAAATACGAGTCACATTTTTAATACAATTAGAATTTGTACATGATCTTCATGAACATTTTTAAATAGTCTTTTTATAGTAGGAAGCACTATTAATTTTAAATAGCCAAAATAATGAAATTAATAATTATTGTAATGTAGGCATATTAAAATGATTACTAATTGTAAGTAATATTACATTTATATAATATCCACGCAAAGATCAAATATCACAAAATTTTAATGATACATATGCCAACATCTATTTCTATGTATAAAATTTAAGAAATTTTAATAATTTATTTCCATTTATCCATAATCAAATTCTTAGAAATCAATTAAAATATTATACTTTGTATTTATATTATCTGTTTTGCTTCTTTTCAAATACAGATTCTAATAGGTTTATGTTACTTTTAACACAGCTATCTATATATATTATTTAGTCATTTATTTTAAACTTAAATTCTCAATTTTTAAAATAAATACAGAAACATTTTTCTTTGTCACAATAATTTTATGATTACTTCCCACTATAATTATTGGGCATATACAAATGTAATGTGCATAAAAGCTTGCTTAAACAAATGGTAAGACATGGAAATAGTACATGTAGAGGAAATAATCCATATTATTTACTTTTCTACATTTACTATAGGCATTACCACTGAATTATTAAGTACCCGCTTTGATCAACTTTTACTTTTTTTCAAATCTCCTTTCAGATTAATTAGTATAAACTAATTACTTATTTGAAGAGTAACTTATCTAATTCCTTTCAAAATCAATCATTTCAAATTTCACAACAATTGAATTGTATGCATTTTGTCAATATAATCTAATAGTCCCTGTAGTCTTTTCTTTATTCGTTTTTGGTCATCCATAGTACATCCAAGAATAGCTGTTTCAAAGTTTTTATCAGAATTACCAACACTTTGTGAGGAACAAGCATTCATAAAAGATGCACATCGAAGTCTAGTTCCAACTGGATCATCACGAAGACCAACAACTAGACTATCGATCAAACCATTTACCTGAATTACCAGTTTATATTATTAAAAACTACATTAAAGAAAATAATGGTAAATTGATATAAAATATGTAATACGATTAATACCTGATGTAGCGCTTCCTCTTGAATCTGATCACGTTGAATTTTAACTAATACATCTACTGTTAAACATCGCATAGACAATCTTTCAGCATATCTTAGTACATCATCCTTGTCAGCTATTTCCAGAAATAATATTGAATAATAATAATAATTTTGAATAATCATCTTTTATAGGTTAGGTTTAACGAAACAAAAAGCGGTAACACACATAACAATTAACATATAAATACAATAAATATAATTATTTAATATCACAATGATAATAGAAAAGGGAACTTTTACAAATATTGAAAACTTTCTTAAAATGTTCCTATACATTAGAGTTGACCTTGCCTTTTTTCAAAATAAGCGAGATGAATACTTACTTTCCCCTAGTCCACTTAGAACTTCATCGTTTCTAAGTGTGTCTAAGGTGGTCAGGAGTGTATCTTTCTCTTCTTCGAGTCTCCAGGCATCTTTCCTCAGTTGTTCTACATGCACTTCGATTTGATCAAGAAGTCTGACTAACCTGTCTTTCGGTTTTGTTGAACCATCACAATCCACACTTTCCATAATATGTGGCAATGGACTATCCATTCTTTTTTCTAAATTCTCAATAGCTGGTCTTCAATAATTAATATCTTCACGTATTAACGAAATGAGAAATTACATTCGGACACGAGGTAAAATACAAACGTTCTACTCGCGGCCAAATTTATAGCCTCGGAGACCCGAAGCAAGTGTTGGTATTGGTACTGTGATACAAAAAGATGACTGACGAAGCATGTATCAACGCACATACACACACACACACACACATATTGACAATTGAATTATGCATTCGATATCGCCAAATTTGAAAAGTACTTTTCTTGTAATAGTTTACAAGACAGCAGTAAATAATTATGTACTAAACAATAATATAACATTAAGTAAGAAAGTCTAACTGTATTCAACTGCATGTTATTTTAAAAATTAATTTGTTTTATCATCTTTTATTTTATTTTTCAAAACTACGATCAATATTAATACTGACATGTTACATTATTAAAAGAAATACTATTAAATACAATGGTCTCTAAAACAATGTATGCAAATAAGTAAATAAATACATGTTATGAAGATGTCATAATATCGTACAAATTAATAACGACAATAAAATATCACGTAAATATATTAAAAATTATTTATAATTTAAAATTAATTGATTATTTTAATTATTAATATTTATTATATTTCTAATTTCAACTGTAAACAATTTTATATTTTTATTGCTGATTTGACACAGTTTCATAAAAGAGTATTCTACTTCCGGTTATAACTTTGCGAGGTTCGTACTCTCTTTCTCCATCATTTTTCAAAATCTAATTTTTCATTAAAAATCTTCTTCTTTTTTAAGTATATATTGTTCCTATTTAGCATAAATACAAATATTTTATTTATATTTTTAAGAGGAGAAATTTCTGGAATTTAGTGATAGACATTTTTTGTCTGTTCTAGGTGGTTTTAGTTGTACTCCATTGTTATTCATTATGGTGAGTATTAAATATTTGGTGTTAATATAAATTTATTGTAATTTATAATTACAATTGATTTAATTTCTTCTAGTATTTTATCATGTAGAATAACATATTGTATATTAGGTATATTAAAAATGCATTAAATTGGAATGGCATAACCTCAATGTAATGTAAATCTAATATAAATATAAATGATGCAATGTATAATACTTTTTTTAGCCACGAGAAATCAAGGAAATCAAAGACTTCCTCCTAAAGGCTAGAAGGAAAGATGCAAAGTGTGGGTATTTAAGATATAAAGTTTTTCCTTACTGTTTTTATGGTATAATATACTTATATTTATTCTGATAATTTAGCTGTGAAAATTAAGAAGAATACTGACAATGTTAAGTTCAAGGTTCGATGTTCACGATTTTTATACACTCTTGTCATTACCGACAAAGAAAAGGCAGAAAAATTGAAGCAATCTTTACCTCCAGGTATTTATTTAAACTGATTGATGAAACATATTGATGAAAAATTACAATGATATATAACTGTGTTATACTTTTAGGTCTTCAAGTAAAGGAAGTGAAAAGAAGTGAACGTATGTAATTGATAAAATAAACTAAATTCTTAAACATATGCTGTTTATTTTTTCTACCATCACACAAAAACAAGTGATTAAATTATAATTTCATTCTATTGTAAAATTTTGATTAGATAAAATACATGGTTGATTTAGAAAATGCTTTCTTCTTTTAAACATGCATTGGTAAATATTCTTTCTTTCAGTCAAAGATTTACACATCAACTTCAATTCGTCATATGTATCTGTACATATATTTCCACTATTACATGCTGGCCTCTGATCATAAGGATATGCATGTTGATAATTAAATCTTGTTTGACATTTCTTTGTAGTATGTTGTATTTTTTGTTTTAAATATCTCTTTAAAGAACAATACTTTCTTTGACATGGCTGAGTTTGAAGTTTTATATACTGGGAGAATAATATTCCCAATTCGTCATAGATTTCACATATTTCTGACGAAATATTATTATCACTGATAAGTAATTTTTCAGATACAGTAGAAAAAGTTGGTTCTGCGATATAATTTCTAGAAGTATCAGCTTTTAGTAATAAAGTATGGTTGAAATTCTCATTAGATTTTGATATTTTTCCATGATTTTGAGTTTCTTTTATATTACATCTTAAAATATCTATAGATGACTTCATTTTTTCTTCTATTTTTTTAAAATGTGCATCAGTTAAATTTATTTCTGATTTTAATTCTTTGAATTTGTCTTTTTTAACTCCATTAATTTTATCTGTGATACATGTAGAAATATTTTTTGTTTCTGAGTTTATACTTAATATTTGATCATTTGCTATTTTAATTGTATTAGACACGTCTGATAATGTGGAATTAATGCAAGAATTGGTTGACCTATATAAATATTTATAATGATTAGTGCATTAATTTAAATAAAGTTTAACGACATCTGTTAATTATCAAAAACCTTTTTAATTTGTTAAAAAACGCATTTGATAAAATATCCGACTTATTAGCTGCAGAATTTGAGAAATATTTTGAATCAGTGGCTAAATTTTTGGCTAATAAAGAATAAGGCGATTTAGCTAATAAAAAATTAGTTGATTTAGAAGTAGAAATTTTGTATTTTTGTGTATTGTCGTTAAGTGAATCAGTATCTTCAAATTTAAGTTCTATCAGTTTAGAACTGACATTATTTTGTCTTCTAGAGTTAATATTTCCTGAATCCCATTTGCACAGTAACATTTCTTCGTTTAGTGAATCTGATTTCTTCGAAGATAATGGTATTATTAAAAATTTAAGATCTGTGTCTGAGAAGCAAATACCTTTGTCATTCTAAAAAGAAAATAACATACGATTTGAAAATTATTATCACTGTAAAATTTAGTATTAATCAAATTTAAATTTTATATTCGATAAGTTGATACCTGATATGAGCTTCTATAAATACTGTTTATGTTTTGAGTACTTAAATCACTAGTTTCAAAATTTTCAGGATCTTTAATATTCAATTTATTTGATATCGATTTATTAGGTACGTCCTTAGTATAAAGTGATGAGAAAGACATTTTCAAAGATAATTGTTTTGTTAAATCTATATTGTTAGTAGAAGTTTCTAATTCATTTCCATACGAAGCAAGTAGCTTTTTCTTTTCCTATAAATTTTTTGTTTATATATACATATATACAAGTTATGGAAACTAAATTATCATGAATGTGATAAATTATTTGTATATAATAATTTTTAATATAATATTTTTCTTGTAATACCTGTAAAAGAGTTTTTAATTTACATCTCTTTTCATGTTGTTTGATCTTTTGACTATCATTTTTCACACGAAATTTTGAAAAATTACATATGTTATTTCTTAAAATTCGTTGTTTTGCACAAGAATTATTTTTTCTCTCTTTTATTATAGATAAACTATCATCATTATCTTCATTTCGTCGAATTAAGCTTTAGAAACGTAATATTAATATATTATCAATAAATAAACATGCTGCATACATATACATGTTACAAACAAAAATGTAATGAACCTTTGGAAAATAGAAATAACTTGTCTGTATATATAACGATAGCACGTTATAAATAAAATTATTACAACCAAGATGATAAATAAAATGATAAATATTTTCCAGAAATTGTTAGAACCTTTTTCAGTTTGATCCATATTGTTATAATACCTTATCTCGGTATCAACTATCCCCAACTTTTTTCTTTTGTGTGTGACTTGCATACTTTCTATTATAATAGTTATAACACAAACCAAAGGATTATAAAACAAATTAATTACAGTACAAAATTACTGTGTTTTTAAAAATACAATTCATATATATATTTAAATATATATATTTCAATTCATATATATATTTAAAACGGTCGATTCATTATTTATTGGCAGGAATATGTAAATTGCAAAATAAAACATTTGAATCTATTATACGAATTTACTTTTTCTGTTTTGTTCACAGGTGTGCCATGAATAGTTCGTGAAAAATGTCTAAAAATAATAAAATTCATTTTATACAATATTTATATTATTAAAATCAATCCTTCTTATGATTAGTTACACTTCATAAAATCATAATGAAGAGACAATGTTTGGTATAGTCCGGTCCAAAATATTATAGCAAGGTCATATAAAAAATTAAATAGTAAATCAGTCAATTATAAATAAATTGTAAATGAAATTATAAAGATTCAGATATCGAGATAAATGAATTGATAAAAATATAAGGGAATAAGGATCTGAAATCTTGATAGAGGTTGAATTAAGAAACTTTTAATACAAAGTGTATTTTCTATAGAATATTCAAGTACAAATCTTAGATTTGTAACCATAATTTTTTATTAATTTCACATAAGTGAAATGTTAGATAAATTTTTTTACTTTTTTAATTTGTATCTTTTTTTATTGTTAAAAATACAAAACAGAATACAGTGTTGCCTCTATTAATGCGTGAAATTATAAACAATTGTAAAGAAACTAGAAAATAATACAATTTTAGAAAAAGATGGGAATCTGATAAACCTGTATCTATTATTGAAATTATGCGAGAAACAGATTTACTAATGAAGCAATACTGTATAATGTAAGTACTGTGTACGAACTGAAATCAAGATATCAATCGAAAGTCCTCCGTGATGACTGATTTCGATCTGGCTATACCTTGGCCCGCACTATACCTATTCTAAAACTACAAATTATGAATGAATTTTACATGTCGATATATATATATATGTATATATATATATATATATCTCAATTACAAATTATTCTTAAACAACATGCACCTTAATTCATAATTATATTACATATACGATAAAACAGAATAATGTTTATTTGGAGTTCATTCGAAATAGATAAAATATTCATTACTAATATATATATATACATATATGTATATATATATATTTAATATTTTTGTCATAATTTTAAAATATTTTACGTATATAACACAAAATATCAATAAATTGATATATATATAATTATATGTATATATATGCGTATGTGTATTGCGCTAAAATATAAAATATTAGAAATATCTGATATTAAATTTACATAATATATATCTTCTTAACAAATTTATTTTAATGATATTTTAATTTAGAAATTGAAAAGAATTTGTTATCATTAACATTAAATCATATAACATAAGATGATAGCAATACTGTCCATGAGTGCGTCTATAGTCTGGAACTTTATCTGAATGTTTATTGAAGGAAACAAATATTTCAAGTATTCGAGAAAACTAAAAACAACGAGAGTAAACGATACAATTCAATGTTGACAGTATTTCTTAGATTTTCTACCCAAAAACTGATAGGGATAATACATGTATATGTAATACATACATTAGTAATCGTAAACCCTTTCAAAGAATAGAATACATGAGACTGGAGCAAACCATCAAATACCAACCTATGTTGTACCTATCATGATTATTAAAATTCATTATGTATGAAATAAATAAACATTACTTTTTCTAATTTATTACTGCAAATTGAAGATCGAGAAGATACAAAGTATGTACTTTTCAAATTGCTCCTATCATGTTATTATACTGTAAAAGGGTTAACTGATTATATTGATATTTCTTAAAAAAGCAAATCACACATATGTATATGCATTAACATATATGTGTAAATTTTCTGTAATCATAATTATTCAACTGTTCTGCAATCACTTATTCGTCACATTCATGGTAAGTAGCTCTGTAGAATAAAAAAGATAGTTAAATTCAATCTAAGAAAAATATAAATATTTTAAAAATGACAAATGTAATTACCTTTGTTTGTCCATATTTCGTCGAGATAATCTTCTTCCAGGTTCATGTGTAGTTAATGTATATCTTTTTGTATGAGGACGATTTGCTCGAAGTTCACGTGCTTCGGTAGTTTTGGCTTTTTCCACTTTTTGCATAAATTTAGCAATTAGTTCTGGACAATTTAAATTTTCTTCTGGTTCCCATGTATCATCTGCTGATGTAAATCCTTTCCAACGAATTAAGAATTCTTTTGTTTTATTTTTTTTAAAATGTACTTCTATAATTTTTTCAACTTCAAATTCTTTTTGATCATCCTTCCCACTTTTTTCTTCATCTGATAATGTTATTTGTTTACCTAATTAATAAAAATTTAATTATCTGAACAATATGTAATAATTTTTTTCAATTTGCTGCAAAACATTTATAAAATAGTACCATTTTCTGTTTGTTTCTTTACATTATTCTTCGGTTTTTTAGATTTTTTATCTACTTTCGTTACTTTATTTTTGGACGTCTTTGTAGAACCATCCAACTGCTTTGAATTAGGATCTTCTTCATTTTCTGCATTTTCAGCTAAATACTCTTCTATTAATTCTAAACAATTCAGATCTTTCTCTTGTTCCCATGTATCAGAATTTTCGTCATATCCTTTCCATCTCACCAAAAATTGACGTCGACCTTTAATGGTACGTTGACCTACAATTTTCTGTACCTAGATAATTAAAATTATTACATTCAAATAATAATGTTGCATTATATTGCACTATTATATTGCATGCTAAACTAATCCTGTATAAAAATTATTTTTTGGATCGTTTAAATAAACAATGAAAAGATAGAAGAACAAATTTGCTTTTTTAAAGAGGAAAAAATTATTCTTATACATATTTTGTTTTAGATCTTTTATTTACGATAATAAATCAATTTAGCTATGACTAAACTGCATTAAAAATAAATAGCATTATATGAGTACTGAAAGTGATAATATATCATATATCTATATATATATATTTTATATAAACATAAACATAGTTATTAGATAAATTTGAATAGAAATAATTTCTTTAGAAGATGAACAGTTTAGCGTTCATCTTATATACTGAAAATCATTGGGTTTACAATCACAAGATTTCTGTCAGTTAATTTAATAACTATAGTCAACAGTGTATATCTAAGTTATGCATTCTTGTTGTGGTACATATCAACACAATAAATATAATATCTAATATACCTCATACTCTTTTTCATTGTTTCCGTCTTGCTTTGTTAAAGCAGAGCCCTTTTGAATCTCTTTTTTAAGTTTCTTGCTCGGTCCAGCTTTTCCGACATTCTTATTTTCTTCTCCCGTATCTGCAGCTTGAGTATCTTCTATTTCAGAATTAAGAGCAGAATCTTCAGCTGTTTCTTTTTGACTATGACGGGTACGAGCCTGGCGCTTTTTCGCTGTACCTCTGCGTTGCGATTCCGTATTCTTATTTTCCTTTCCTTTCTTCATTTCGTCGTTATTATCGGTTATGGTTAAATGCCTGACGCCATTTTCCTCTGAATCGCTACCACTAGTTTCAGATTTGCTACGCTTGGTTTTCATGCTCAATCTACGCATATTATTTTTACAGTCGACAAGAAAATTTTTATATTTTCAATAATGTCTATGCATATATAATATGTACTCTCTTATATATATACAAACCGGAATAATTTTATTCCGCGTTCCCGCAAACAATTCAGGAGCAGTTTAGTGCATTACACAGGAAGTTTTGAAGTATAGGAAAGGAAGTATCAAAGGAAAGATTTTGATTTAATCACAAAGATAATGACCCTATGCATTTTTCAGCTTGTTTCAAAGCATTAATCGAATTTTTATGATTCTATTAAACCTTGAATTTCACAATGCCGTAAAGTAATTTCAAATAATTTTGCTTTAACCCTCATGCAATTTTATTTTTTGAAATCATAAATTACATTTTTCGAAAATGGAGTTTTTTAATGAAAAGATTTTAATTTAAGTTTAAGATACAGATATTATATTGATATTTTTTTTACAAATAAAAAATCGGATTTACATTCAAATTTTATTTGTTTTATAATTTGTAAACATTACTTTAAATATATCGTAACTTACGTATTTAACAAAACACGCAAGATGATTTTTTGAAAACCAATCTTTTCAGAAAAGAAAGTTATTTTTAAAATAAAAATAATACATTATATAGTTCAGAGATTTTCGATTAAAGTGAAATAAATTATATTTTTACGAAGTTACAGTTTACAATCTTAATTATGCAATAGAGACATTGTTCATTCATTAAAAACTATAATTTAATGAATGCTCTTCGCCGACATTTTGGGGTGAGGTAAAAATTTCATTATTATTTTTTTCAAATTTTTCTCTGTTTTTATTGCAAAAATTTTAATGATTAAATTTTGTTTGCATCATAAATTAGAGATTGTAATAAGGATTTTAGATTTTTTTAACACTCAAAATACCAAAAAGAAAAAAAATTAGACAAAGAAATGAAAGACCCATAATGCCGGCCATGTTAGTAAAAAACTATGTTTCTGATAAAAAATATTAATGATGTAAATTTACTCAATTTTTATATATACTGGATTTTATATTTACTGGATTTTTTTCTTGTTAAGATAAATTATTTAAAAAATTTTAAAAAATATTTACGAAACTATGAGTAGAATAATGTGAGCGGAATAAAGTATTATTAAATCAATATTTCGTTGCTTTGGTAACCAACGGCAGTTTCTTATACTTGATAATATTAAACTAATACTTTGTACAATTTGTATAATTTTAACATTTTGTTAAATTGTTCTTGTTTAAATTATGGCTAAATCTGTAACTACATATGAAAAGCCTTTCCCACACATAAGTAAGTTTTGTCATATTACAAATGCTAATATTTAATTTTTTTCACAATATTTTCATCTCTACTAATACATTATATGTTATACATGATAAGATTAAATTATAATGTCCAAATATTTCTGTATATAAAATATTTATTTTTATGATAGGTTTAGCAGATTGGTATGCTAAACAATGGGAACTTCAACAAAATGCATCTTTTAAAAGTGCAGAGGCATTTGAATTAAGAAATGCAGGAAAAATTATTTGTTCAGAGACAATGGTAAAAACAATATGGGACACATACATGAATAATACTCGTCTTGCAGATAGGTAATGAATAACTTAAATCATATTTAAAAAATATCTTAAATTTTGTATTATAAAAATGTACATATTTATAGAATAACAGAATTATCACGTTGGAGAGAATTATTTCAAAGTTTATTAAATAAATTAAATGCAGAAATAAAGTTCTTACAAGATGAGAAAATTGACACAGAGAAAGAATTAGAAATCCTAAATTATCCATTACAATCAATAGCAGAATGTATTTCCATGAGAGATTGTCGTAGAGGGACAGAACTTACACACGATGAAGCTGATACAGAATTGAAAAAAGAACTTTGTGTACTTGAAAATATTAAAAAATCATTAACTGACAGGTACGAATATAAAAAAATACTGCATATATCTACAAATATATCTTTTTAATGATATATTTCATGTAGAGTGCAAGCTGCATGGGAAAAGTTAAATCGTTTAGGAGAAGTTAGATTTCAAATGCAATTAGAAATAGAAGATAAAGATGAAACTATTAAAATAGAGAAAGAAAATCTTGATTTAGATCGAACATGTGCAAATATTAGCTATAAACCAAATGCATTAAGAACTCCAAAAGGGTAAGAATAAATATTTACATGCAATATATGAAATAGATAATATAAATATCTATTTTACTGCAGTTCGATTACATACGAAGCTTGGTTGGAACATTGTCGTTATATTAAAATGATAGGTGATAATGAATTAAGTGATGTATATAATTTCCGAGAAGCTATGAACGTAATGCGTGAACGTGCTAGAAATGATATTAAGGCTCAACAAGACGTAACAGATTTCAGTTTACGAAAAAGAATTTATCAGACACAAAAAGCCAGGAATGAATTAGAATGGCAAAAACTTAAAGTAACAACTTTTTAAAGTAAACTTATCATTAATATTTAATGTACGAATTTTATTCAAACATAATTCTTTCAGATCCAAAAAGAAATGGAAATTTTACAAAAAGAAATAGTAAAACTTGAAGACGCACTAATGCATAAAATTGATTCGATGAAATGCGCAGAGACAAGATTAGAAAATCGTACTTACCGTCCTGGTTTTGAACTTTGTCGCGACGAAGCTGAATTAGGTTTGAAAGACGAAGTCGTACACTTGCGACAAACTGAAAAAGATTTAATAAAAATGTTGGAAAATTCAAAGTATGCAGAATAATACATAATTTACCTGATGATATAATTAAAATATTATTCTCTTTAATATATATATATTATTTTCTAGAAGTGCATATAATAATTTGGAAAGCTTACTTTTGCAAATTGACAGAAATATTGATGATAAACAACATTCTTTAGCGACAGATGTTATGTGTTTAGATATGAGAGCAATATTAAAAACAGGAGATAGAACACGATTATCAAACGAAACAGACCGTAATATTGTCCTTACACGTATGGAAAAAGAGATACCACTTGAATTATAATATTTACACAAATTTATTAAGAACGTTCATTAAATACACAAAATGTCTTATTTATTGTTTAATGATGATTCCATTATACACAATAAACTAATTGCTTATATGCTTATGCGTCAGTGTTAATAACATCTGATTTGGCTTTAATTAAACTAAATTCTGAAATAAATGAATCTGTCAATACTGGTTCTAAGGTTTTTACTGCCCTTCCATGTAATTGTCCAGTTTTTATTGGATCGCCATGTTTCATTTCAAATGAAATATAATTTATCCAAACACTTGTATTATTTTTACCAAATTGTAAAACTGACATTTCATTGCATTTTCTTACACGTTTTAATGATACTTCAGGTTGCATCATTTCTAGTTCTATCATTTTTTTGTGCATTTCAAGAGAAAAAGGAGGTTGTAAACAGAGATTATCATAAATTTTTCTTGCCGCTTGTACGTCTAAAATAAACAAGAAGTTGAGATATTAATTATATTAAATATGATATATAATTTTTTACAATTTATAATTACGTACTTTTTGTTAAAACTAGCCATTCAAGGTAAATAACTTTTATCTCCTGAATAATAGCTGGTTTTGTTTGCAAAGCTGCTTGGAAAACTTGTTCAGTTTTTTCAGGACACTTTGCTTGCGTATACAGTATTTTTATTTTCCACAAAGGCAATGATTTTTCTCCAAGAATTTGTATTGCCTAAAAAGTTATTATGTTTATAAGTATGTAACACCACTATGTAAACACTAAACTAAAGCAATTATCAATATTTCTGTACCTTAGAAAATACAGTTTCAGCTTCTTCTTCTTCTTCAGAAGCAAACAAATATTTTAATCTAGCGTGCCAAAGATTTACACTATCTGGTATAGTTTCAGTTGCAACGCTCAGAATTTCTTTTAATTTTTTCTCTGTAGTTTCATCTTTCTTTTCAGCGTTCAATATGTTGATCTGCAGTGAAATTATCACATATTAAATTATTTAATTCTTTATTTGATATAATGTTTTCATGCAATACTTGTCAAATTTATTACCAACCCAATGCAAATAATATTTTTCTTTTAATTTTTTTGCTTGGTATGCCTGTGATAGTGCAGTTTTTAGTAATTTTCTTTTAAAATTTGGTAGAGATAAAGTTCCCGTTTTCTGATTTATTTCTATTAAACATTCTATATACAAAGACCACATTTCTTCAGTTTTAATTTTTTTAACTGCAGTTTGATAAACTTTATTACAAGCTGTTATACGATCTCTTAATGAAGTTTGTTCTGAACTATCAACTTGCATTACTGTATTACTAGTAAGAGAAGGTTGAACAAGTCCTTCTAACTCTCGTCGAGCCATTGTATCCCACATCAGGGGTTCATGAATATATTCTTCTATCATGTCACTAAAAAAATTTAAATGACTCAAACTGAAGATAACCAATAATCTAAATATATTTTTATTATTCCTACCTAACGATTTTATTTTGTAACTTTTCCGTGTTATTATAATCCTTTGCAATGTTCAATAATTCTATTATAAATTTAATATCTTTGATACGTTTTGATGCTTGCTGATATATGACATAAGCTCGTTTTAGTCCAATACACATATCATCAGCAGTTTCAGTGGATATATTGTCACCACTACTTTCATTTTTCTGATCATTAGTTGACACATCATCTAATTCTAATCTAAATTATAAAATATAATATCTATAATATCTAAATCATAAAATATAATAATATAAATTATGTGTGAAAGATTTATACTTAACTTACTTAAAAGCACCAGTAAATAGTAATTGAGAAGTTGGATGTATATGTAAACCCCGAAGAAAAAATTGACGTGCAGTCTCTTTGTTTTTACTTTCTTCTAATTCCCAACATGCAGCAATATGCCAACATTTGGGTTTGTCTTGATGAACTTGCAACATTTTGCCTAACATGTGACTAACATTCTTGTGGAAATGCTGTCATATTTTATATTAAGTATTTTATATTTAATATTTTATAAAAAGGCAAATGAATAGTTTTAGTAAAAAATATTACAATTTAAATACTTACAAAATGCTTACAAAATTTTATGTAAGCAATCCAAAAACGAATATCATCTTGAAATTTAAATATTGCATCTGTATATAAATGGTTCATTTTATTTGTAATAGTATGCTCGACATCTGATTTCTTTTGAGTAATACCAAATTTCTGTTAAATAGAAATAACACATATATATGTATGTAACTAATTTATAGTTATATTTATGATTATGATTAATGAATTATTTATTAATATATACTAACGTACATCTCTGCGTTGTTTAATTAGTTTAAGCAGATCCATTTCATACTGTATGTACCTTAAATAGTCTTCTTTAGTTTTCGTGTGTCGTTGAATTTTATATTCGTATTCTTTAAGTTTCTTTGCAATTGCTCTATGTAATTCACAAAAATATAAAACAATTTATTCAAAGTAAACAATGTGTCAAAAAGCATAACCTAACCTAATTTTCTTACCGAATTTCATGTTTGTCAAAAAGTTTAATCCTTTCCATCTGTTCTAACACAGGAATCATATCCTCGCATCTTTTTTCTACAAATTCCGCCATTTTTTTAAATTAACGTAATATAATTTAGTAATAATATAATTTAGTAATAATTATAATTAATAAACGATAGAAAAATGTTTAACACGTGTATACACGATACAAGGTGCGTGATCTGTGAGTGTGTATTAACTAATAAAGGGTCCTATTCTTAGTCAATGGTGCCACCACTGAATCGATAATGTCGTATGCGACACGAAAATGGTAAAGGAATAAAGTGACCCCTAAAATGTAGAATACCAAGGAAACCATTGAAATTGTATCCCGTTTGCACTAATAATTTATAATTCTATAGTTTACCTACACATAAATTCTATAATTTTTATATAGTTTTAAAAAATCGGTAATGTTGGAAATGACAATAAAGGATCTCTAATAAGATCTGTGGTGAGAGACAAAGGACAAAAAATGTATAGGGTTGTTAAGTCTATCCTTTATTTTATCTATGTTTTGGCGCGTTTTCTTCAGTCGTTCTGCAATTTGGAAATACCGAATACACTTTTATTGTCCGAGTGTTCAGTAAAATACGAATATAAATTTTATTTAACGACAACATAAGTTTTAATAAAGTGAACAGTTTTTCTAAGTGTTCGTGCGTATTAAATAGAATCGTCAGTGATAAAATATTTGAATAATACCAGTGGATATAATAATTTTAGTGAATGTTGTAACGTAATGTATTTATATTTATTTATACATCAGGCCACATTTTCCTGTTTTTATTAAACAGGTTTTTATGACTTTTAATAACTTTTACAACATTTTAAATCAAAGTTTTTACAACTTTACAAACGGTTGTAACCTGTAACGAGTGTAACTTATTTACTTGATTATCAATGAAAGATACGTGTGAACTTAAATTAGTTAAACGTGGTTTATTATAGTGAAGAATAAGTTAATACTACATATTAAAAGAAAAGTTTAATCTATAATAAGCATCGCGTAAAAATCTCTCCGCCTGTCTTACAATTCGTTTAAAGTAGCATGTGCAATTATTAAACCATGAACCGTTTAATTGAACAGATCATTGATGATATTCTTATCTACGATAAAACTGGAGAAGGCGATATGTGATTTATTTGAAAGCTGATCGAATCAATGGAACGTTCAATTACGTTACTCTTAATTATCGAGGAGTTTCGACATTAAATGTGAGATGGCGGCAGCTATGGCTGCGGCGCAAACGAGTCGGCGATCGACACGGTTGTGCCATCCATGATGGCTGAGACAGTTTCCGAGATTTCGAGCACGGTGTCGTGAGTACGTGTCCTCTTTGTCGCACGTTTAATCGCTAGTGAGGCTCATCTGCAGGACAAAAGGATCCTGGAAAGAATGACAGACAGTCCAGCGGCACTCGTAAGTGTTGTCACTGTCTATTAAATTTTCTAGAGTCAAGTATTCCGGGCCCTCCGTTGCCCGTTAGGTTACCCCATCGGAGAACATGCGCGGATCTAGGGCTTCCGTTCGCGTTTACGCATCGGTGATCGTCTAACGAATGAAATTCGTTGCTTATTGCTATTTCGCCTCTTTCCGAACCCGTGCAATCGGTTGGAGCATCTGAAAGTATCTGATCACGGCGAGGACGTGCAGTACACGTCCGACGTGGCGTAACGCGCAAACGCGGAGCAGAGGTTCGTTGCCCGTTCTTGTTTGACGTCACTGGCTGATAGCGGTTGTCACCTGTTGGCAGTGACGTCACGGATAGCTGTGACGCAATCGTAAAGATCGCTCGCTCGGTCATATACCGGCTCTGTTTACTCTTACGTACACGACAAGATATATACGTTAGATAACTTATACTCCAACGCATTAATAATAATCCGACCTCTACATTTACTCATTATTTATAGATCCGCTGACATTGTTTTAATTGCGACGATACGATCGCGTTTCACCATGCCGTATTCACCCTCCGCTATTGATTTCGCGTTTAAACACCTTATCGCGAACTACGTTAGATACAGTAGATAATTTATTGGTATAAAAATCTCGAACCTTCCTCCGATATTCGATTTGAGCTAATTGTAAATTTACGTAAATTATTTCTTGCGAGCAATTTCTCACTTGACCTTCTTCCAAGTTTCTTTTTTTTTCAAGACACTTTATTCCGAAGCAAAGAAATCGCGAAACGAAAGGGAATGTCGGGCAACTCGAATTGCAAATTCAGCGAACCAAATCCTATTCGCATCTACGACGCTCATGCGTGTGATGCGAAGAACGTAACGCGTTCTTAAAAGCGATTTCAGTCGCGTTTAACAGGATTTGCAATTGAAAAGACGATCTTGAATGGCAACATACTGCCGGTACAGCAGAACGACCACTCGCAATTGGAATTTGCTTATATCGATGTTTCCAGGTTTATCCGAGACCTAGTTTTGCAGGCCTTCGAATAATGGTCACGATGCGATTGCTCGGTGTCGATCAACGCGAGGAAACGACCGAATAAGCCAGCTACGAAAACAAATGGTTAGCGGCAGTTTAGGAACAGTCTTTTCATTCGTCGTCATTCAGTCGTTTACTCCAAATATCGAGACTCGAGGCGCGAAAATCGGATCAGCCTCATTTCCCTTTCATCTTTCTATTCCAATC